AGCAAAACTGTTATTCCTTGCAAATGGGTTTTCAAAATAAAACGAAAAGCGGATGGCTTGGTTAAGCGATTCAAAGCTCGATTGGTGGCTAAGGGATTTCATCAATAGGATGGCGTGGATTTTGATGAAATGTTTAGCCCCGTAGTAAAGCCTTCAACTATTCAGATAGCTTTATCCTTGGCTATTTTTCATGATTGGACCATGAATCAACTTGACATCAGCAATGCGTTCCTTCATGATACGCTCTTTGAAGAAGTCTACATATTCCAACCACCTGGATTTCTTGATCTCTCTAGGCCATCTCATGTTTGCAAGCTTGTATGGGCTTAAACAAGCCCCACATGCTTGATTTCAACGCTTCTCTCTGTTTGTCATACACCATCCAATATTAATTGTGTTCATTTTGGGGTATGTCGATGACATTATTGTTACCGGTTCCAGTCAAAGTGAAGTTTCTGCTGTGATTGCTCATCTTTCTGCACACTTCTCTCTCCGTGACCTCAGTATCCTTCACTACTTCCTTTGTATTGAATATCATCTTACTTCTCATGGCCTACATCTTTCTCAAGAAAACTATGCTCTTGAGCTTCTCAAACGAACCAACATGCTGGATGTTAAGCCTTGCTCCACTCCCATGGCTACAACCACTAAGCTGTAGATGGATTCTACCGATTTGTTCCATGATCCCTCTTTGATGGAGGACCAGCTCACCAACCGACGCCAGTTCATGCCTCTCACGTCTAGAGACCTTACGTGATCCAACAACCATAGGATAATGGTGACAGCTCCATGCATTGATAAACATTGGAAGATGGTGGCTATCGGATGGTGGATATCAAAGGCAGATTTCGAAGATGTCTAGAAGTGTAGTTCCCAATTGTTTTAGTTGTTTTACAAGTTTAACTCTCCTAGTTACTCTACAAGTCTATCATATGTATTATAAATAATCATGTTCTGAGTTAATAAACACACACAAGAATTTTCGCCAACTTTTCTCTCTCTTCCAAGGCATATGCCTAGTTACAACAGGCTTCACGAACGAAGCCTCGTGTTCATCCGGTGCTTGCGTAGTCAGCCCGATTTATTGCTTCCACGCTGCATCACTCTTTATATCGCCAGGTAGTGGGCGCTCTCCAATACCTCACTGTGACCAGGCCCGATCTCTCATTCTCCATTAACAAGGTGTCTCGGTTCATGGCCAGCCCATATTTTACACTACGTTAAACACATTGTTTCTCTTGGTATCACATTCAAACGCTCCTCTTATCATCAGCTTCATGCTTTTAGTGATTCCGATTGGACTGGAAATTATGATGATAGGAGATCACATGGGGGATTTTTTGTCTACCTTGGCGAGAATCTTGTTTCCTGGTCCTCCAAGAAACACTCTACCTTGTCTCGTTTCAGCACCGAAGTGGAATACCGCTCTCTCGCCATCTTGGCAGCTGAACTTACTTGGATTCAAATGTTGTTCACCGAAATTGGGTTTCCTCCAACCTCTTCTCTAGTTATCTCTATGTACTTTGGTTTCCTGGTTTTAATACACATATTGGGGTCACAACAATACATCTTGGGAGCTGTCGCTGTGGTCAGGGCTACTCCAACGGGCATAGCTAAATTATGAGAAATTGAGATTTGGATGTGCAGTTAAACTTGATTCGTTGATTAAAAGAAGACAATGATGAGCTTGTTGCACAAGGTACAGAAAAACACATTTGCTCCATTTATTAAAATCAATCAAATAGATTGAAATGCAAAATAGACACCTATCGGAAAAGTTAATAAATAGGTGGCTACTCCAATTTTAAATCTTCTCTCCCACCAAAAACAAAGTGAAGTTGCAAAATGAACAACAATACAGGAGAAATCACATTTCTAATAGTATCTTACATGGGCTTTCACTGAAAATAATAAAGAGAAAAAGAAAACCTAAAACTTATTGCCACCTTTCTTCAAAAAATAAAAAATAAAAAATAAAAGAAAAGAAAAGAAAAATACTAATATTTTCAATTTTCCCCAACCTTCTTCTGCAACAGGTTTTGACAACCTCCACTATCAATGTGGCAATTCTAATTCCTAAAAGCTTGTTGAACTCCTTTCTTATTACAAGCTATAAGTCTTGGCAAAATATAATTATCTTTTGCCATATGTCCATATTAGGGTATTCAAGTTAAATAAAGAGAAATAGGCTGGAACACAGTCACCATGTGACATGCTCTTTAGCTACGAGCAATCTTTCTTTTCTTTCAACAGAATTGCAAACTTGCCTTTGAAATCTTGAGCCTTTGGCTTTCCTCTCCAACCATTTGTGGAAGCTGTTAGAATTCATCCTCAAAGAATCGTAGCTGTGGATACTTAATTTATTAGTAAGTGATTATATTGTGTTTTAATTTATTGATATTGGTTTTTGGGGAAAGCAAATTGATATTTTTATTTTGGATAAATTGAAAGGTGTTTACCTTCTTTACCTTCTGTCTAGCTTATACCAAAGTAAGTGGAAAATATCCCATTATTGATGTTAAAGAGAGGAAAAGATACTGAGAAGTTGCAATCAAGCTATTAATACCTACGTGATTTGTATTAATTGCCTAATGTGTTTTTAGGGCCCCATTTTCATTAACAGGAATAGGGGTTTGGAATCGGAATCAAAATGAGCTATTTCGATTTCAATTGTTTGATTGGGTGGAATTGAAATCTCATTCCCATTTCTGCTGGATTGGCATTCCCTGCCTCTCCCCTGGGAATGAAATTTCATTCTTGTTGATTTTAATTTTCATTCCTATTCCTATCTGAACCAAACAGACTATGGGAATAGAGTATTCCAATTCCAATTCTGACTGTGGACCAAACGGACCCTAAGTGTTATTCCTTATGCAATCACTTAAATGATAAGTACCACAAGAGTATCAATAGTAGGGTGATCATTTCCGGCCCGCAATATATTATTCACATGTTAAATATATACTTATATACATGTCTATATTATATACATATTAAATATATTATTCTCATGATAAGATGCACAATGGGCTTTATTATCCACCATTAAGAGGAGCATTCCCTCCTTTCTAGAAGGAGTAAATATGAACTTAATTTTCTACTTTGAAAAGCATATAAAGAAGTAGCAAGAAACACAAAAACACAAAACCCAAAACCAATTTCTGTGCAAATGTATAACCAAACCACCAAACACAATCTCTGTATATGTACATAAAATTGTGATGCACTTTTGGTCAAATTCTCAAACTTATCCTCAGGATTACCTGTTTTTCAGTTTGGTCAAATGCCTAGCCTGCCCGGCGTAACTTACAATATATTTATATATTACATACATAGATATATATGTACATATGAACATAATATATTGTATATCATATAAAATAAAATAAAACACACACATACATATATATATATATATATATTATAAGTATTACAAAATGACACCTATTATATAAAATATTTTATTATTCATAATAAATTAAAGCATATATTATGGCATATAATAATAGTTTATTTTATATATATATATTATTAAATATAATGTACTTAATACCATAGGCCCAAAACTTAGGTCTGCATAGATCCAAGCCCAGGCTATACTCCTAATCATATGTGCTAAGCCTGGCCTGCCCTGGTCCATGATCACCCCTAACTCCACCCCTCCTTTAACATTAGGGGTGTTCATGGTCCCGTTTGGTTTGATTTAGAGAAAATCTCAGACCAAACTAGTAAATTATGATTTGAAAAATTCTAAAACCAAACGAATAGTATATAAACCAAACTAGATCAAACCATTCTATTACGACTTGAACTGGTTTCAAATACAATTTGGGCCATTCTACTGGGCATAACCCAATTAGAAAGCCCAAATAACATGCATACTTAAAGGTCAGTTTGGAAGAAGTACAAATACAAATATGTAGAGTGCAAAATCTTGTATTTTATATTATTTTGTATGTATTTGTACTGCACACATTTGTATTTGTGCTCCTTCTTTCAAACTGAGCCTAAATAACAAATGAATTCAAATATCAAGTTGAAATGATAACAAGTGTCACTTAATACTATTATATAAATTACATTCACACTTTCTCAAACATAAATAACTCATTGGGTATCAAATTATAAGTTAAAAATTGAAACAAAAACAATAATGTATGGAATGTTAAATGGATATATATACAGAATATGCTTAAATATATATTATATATTATATGCATTAATAAATAATTAATAATTCAGTGTAATATGGTTTACGGTTTGGTCTGATTTCTAAACTTTAGAAACCAAAAATTATAATTTGAAGAATTTTTAGACCAAACCAAACCATTGTAAGTCCAAACCAAACCGAAATGTCAATTAAGGTTTGATTCTGTGCGGTTTCATGATTACACCCCTATCTAACATGCCCCCACTTTCAGTGATAAAAGTGCTAACTTTACATCTAAAGCTTTTCAAATTAAACACCATTTATCTTTTCTTTTAGCATCTTGGAACAAATTCAGGAAAATTTAAAATAAAACAAAATTTGAGATGCTAAAACTGTTTTTAGTGTTTGTAAACATGGGCATTTTTAACTATCTCAAAATATATATTTTAGAGATACATTAATATTTTATCATTAAAAGTATAATTCCACCATCTCTTCATTAACAAACCCTTACGTATTATTAAGCAAACCGAGGGGCGGTACAAGTATTAGACCAAAACATACTAGCTCTTGGAAATTATACTTTACAAAACTACTTACACATGCAGTACAAAAATGCATTTTTTTTGCTTTTAAATTTACAAAAAAAAAAAAAAGCATGCATGCATTTGCTTTTAAATTAAACAAAACGCAAAAAGTAAAGGCAAATTGAAAGTTGAAACAAACTCGGCCTAGATTTGGTTAATTTAATGAATAACGTAAGGACACCCAAAAACGAAGCAGATGAGGAAAAATAGAAATAAGAAAAGCTCACCACGTCTCATGTAGTGTTGCTGTTCCATTGATCACGTCATCTCCTCTTCACCATTGATGACGGATTCCCTTCGAACAACTCATTAATGTAGGTCTCAACATCTTCAGGTCCAAACTTTATATACTTCTCAGTCTGCCTACCGGGGGAAAAGTATTGTGAGTACCTCCCTATGAAGGATCGATATGCCGGAATCATAATCGCTGATATGGAGACCCTTAGCTCCGATTGAAGCTGTTCATCGCTTACTACCCACGAGGCCTGTGTCTTGTGTATCTCTTCGAACATGGCGTTGAAGCTCTTGAACCTCTCCTTTAGCACTGGTTTCATTACTTTCCCATTCACCTGCAATCCCTCGTCTCTAAGACATCCCAAGACTTTATTCCACGTTTCTCTTTGGTAATTCTTATGATACTGTCGAAGATCATAGGATCTTTTCCGACACCATGTGTCGGCAATCAAGTGATATATCTCAGTGGATCCCTTGATCTTCTGCATGATGTACCGCCCGTTGTTCATCAAGAAAATGTAGCTTAAAGAGAGGTCCTTGTAGAGTTTGGATTTTGCATCAAGATTGGAGGTCAGAAGATCCAGAACCTTCACTAGTTGTGCTGCAAACGGTGATGGCTTTTCCGTCTGATCAGCGGAGTTTGGTGTCTCTCTATCCGCATTATCTGACCCAGTTGATGCGTCGGATTGCTCCATCTTCTGGTGTTCTCGAAATACCTGTTCCAAGGTATCCTTATAATCGCAGATGTATTTGATATAATTCATGGTGTAGCGTGTTAATGGATGAATCGCACCACCAGGAACCGGAGTTTTCACGTTATCGCTCCTGATTGAGTTCTCAAGGTCGAAAAAAATGCTAACCGCCAATACACCGAGTCGACACCGAATATCTGAAGTATCACTTAAGAACTCATCGGAGAGTAAGCCATCCATGCATGGAGCTAAATCGCGAAAAGTTTCGTACATGTCCAGGAACTTGAATAACTTTTCCGTCGACCTCTTCGTTACTGTTACAGCATCGGCGAATGTAAGGAGCTGTATGAGAACACCACGCGTGAGGTTGGTAAAGAGGCTGTCGGCAATGGAGGGATTGCAGGAAAATACTGACTCGCAGAGCTTCCTTTCACCAGGGAAATAGACCGTATTGCATTGCTTGAAGGCCTTTATCCACGTGGGTATTTCTCTTTCGAGCGTTTCCCATTGCATCTTCTGTACATCGTCAATGCTCATCTTCTCCAATCCCAGCTTGCTCAATTTCTCCTCAAAAGTATTTTGCCTCGCGATGATATAGGCTTGAAGGCATTCGGCCTCATAACCTACTGAGATCATTGCCGTCGCAATCCTATTCAAATTGAACAAAGCATACGGCGTGTAGCCCGGGAAGTTGTCGTTTCTAGCGGAGTCGGGCTCGGGAGGGACAGAACTCGAAGTATCTTGATTATTAGCAGTACTGTTTGTGTTAAAGCTGCCAGACGTTTGCCTTAAACTTGTACTTCTCAACTCCATCGCATCCGAAGTGCATGCTTTAGAATCTTCAAGAAAGCAACGAAATTCCTCCTCCAAGGATGACACTGCTCGATGTAAAACCATGCTAGTAAGGTTGATAGATGAAGTATATTTCGCGTCAGGTGGGAATTCGCTGAGGGCGTTTGTTAGCTTTGAGATTCTATCAACAGCTTCAATCAGAGGAGACGGGCCTTCACCAGGATCCTGGCTCCACTTGGAGAAAGAGCCGCCTGACTCATTGATCTCTTCTTCAACGAGCTTCGCGAGCTTCTCCACAGAGCTGGGAACTTCTGGCGGATTGGGGGCAGATTTAGAATCAAGGAGAAGGGAGATGAATCGATCAACGTCTTGAGTGAGTTTGGCGAGACAAGAGGAATCGAGATCAGAAGAAGATTCGTCCTTGTTCTCGCACACCTCCTCTTCCTTCTTAATTCCGTTCTCGGTGTCGGGACCCTCTGGATTCACATCAACATTCATGGATTCTGAATCCGGAGAACAGTCAATCTTGCCAGAACGGCAGGAAAAGCTGCCGGACTTTTTAGGAGAATCTTTCTCCATCCGGTGCGTCTCTAAACCTTTTTTTCTTTCTTTTTCCTCTTTGTCTCTGTTTTGATTTTCTCTTACAAGGAGAAGAGGGTTTGAAGAAGTGAGGAGGGAGATGTTAAGGCATGCACGGCAATGAAGGAGGATTATTCAATTTTCTTTTTATGTATTTATTTGGAGGGGATTGAAATGGTCTTCATCTGCGTTTGGAAGTGAGAAGAGAGAGGAGAGAGAAGAGAGAAAGAGAGATGAGGGTGGGACGTAGGGACGAGGATAGACGGAGCTTTGTCCATTATCGGTTTTTTTGGGGATTGGGAGATTTGACGGTTGACCGGTTTAAAACTAGGCTAAATTACTTATTCCTCTTCTTGGGTTTTCTTAAATACTAAAACCTCCCCTCAGCGGCTCGGCCCTCGGGTTTACCTATTAACTCGCTCATCCTTTTTGATAGGAGGTTATAGTTTTTTGTTCCACACTCCACTATTAATGAATGTGTTAATTAATTGGGTAACATGTAAAATTTTTTCCAAGTTTCTTTTGTCTTAATTAGCCATCTTAGGGGCAAAAAAATGTACTCATTTATATGTTTTGAAGGGACAAACCTTTTCCACCTTGGCTTTAGGGTGTAGTGTTAACAAAATTTGAAAGCTAGGTTAAAAAATAAAATAAAAAGTTGATGTGATAAAATAATATTTAATGTTTATAATGAGAGTATTTTTATTAATCCTATAATAAAAAATAATTATATGTTGAAGGGAAGTTAATACTTTTGTTGTTAACAGCAATTTACTAAAAATACCAATTTTCATCTTTAATTCTCTCCTTTATTGAGAAATCCCGTATACTTTTGTATAAGTAATTCCGTTCATTTTTGGATTTTGATTGGGGAAAATCGTAAATGGGATTTTGGTTTTCATTGACTAAGATATTGGGCTTCATGAAAATTTTATTTTCTTTGGGGGTAAGTGATACCATCTCCCAACCTATGTGGGTTGTCAATACTTACTTAAATGGAAAAAAATGACGTTTTTAATAATATTTTTTATGGCTAAAATGGTTACTGTCTTATTTAATTAGGAAATAAAAGAGCATTGATAAATGCACTATTTGGGTGATTGCCGAACTGGCCTAAGGGTGTCATGTAGTAGACTCCGTGACCGCCCTCTTTGGGCTGCGTCAGCATCAGCTGCATAACAGAAGATAATGACCAGGAAGGAGTGTCCACGCAGACAAGGAAGCAGACTTTGTCGACAAAGAGGGAACCCCTTGAAGACTTTGGCAGACAACCTCATCCCAACAACCCCAAAAGCCCTATCCGATCAAAACATGGATATTCAACTATAAATAGGCATTCCCCACTCGATGTAAGGGACTTTGTCTCAACCTGCTCGTCCTAACCAACCCTTTTTAACCTATTGACTTAAGTGTCAAAGTGCCTACCTAGGGAATAACTCTTCGAGCCTCTAACTCTTCTTATGGTTGCAAATCTCGATGTGTGACTTCGTCCTTCCACCTCGGCCTTGGTAGGATTATCTAACTTCGCCCTCGGTTTGGACAATATTAGATTTGTGTTATTTGTGGGAACCATACAAAAATTCAGTTCCCTAACCTCTTATTTTACACCAAACGCAACCATGCCAAGGAACACATCCAACTGCTTTGCAACTCAGTTCACTCCACATCTCGAGGATCCCATTCATTCCATACGTATCCACCTTGAGAACTTGATTAGCCATAGACAACAATCGGCCCTGCCCAGTTTTAAGCCATGCAGTAGAAGGTCAATTGTATCCTAACGATGATGGAGACATTAGGACAGCCACTCACCCTGTCATGTAGGCGCCTACCACGGCTGATCCACAAACTGAGGACCACAAAAAGGCACCACACAGATCGACAAAGGACCCAATCAGATCGCGCACATCCCCAGCCATCCCAGAAGTCTAGTTCGCAGTCACGACATCACACACACGACACCCGTAGTAGATCCTGCCACTCCGGTGTTAGGATTTCGGCCCGAGAACAGCTTGGTGAGCGCTTGCAGCAACCCCCAATATTGATAGCCATATCTAGCTCGATTCGAGACCATCATGCGTCTCCAAAAGAAGAGAAGAGCATGAATGCAATGCCAACGGACCGGGAATCCAAGATCCAGGATCTACGAGAAAGGCTGGCCAAATTGGAACATAGCCAAGCAGACCGCAATGCGACTCCTTCGACAACTAGACCAGCAGAACCATGTCACGACCAACATCTCACCAAAGAGCCCATCTTCGTGTAGGAAATCGAAAACAAGCCCCCATCTAGATGGTGGCCACCTCAGTTCGAGAAGTATGACGGGACATCAGACCCCAATAACCACCTCAAAGGGTTCAAGACAATAATGATGTTGCACGGCTTGTCTGTAGGTCTCATGTGCAAGGCCTTAGTCACAACCCTATACAGTGTCACCAGAACCTAGTACGCTTCGCTCCCACCATGATCCATAGCCCCCTAGGAGCAGATGGGGACACAATTCCTAGTACAGTTCACTGTTCACCACCAGCCAGAGACACTGAAAGACCTCAGCCAGCCTCATGCAAGTGCACTAAAAGAGAGGAGAGACTCTACGGGACTATTTGGCGAGATTCAATGTCAAAGCCCTTCAAGTCTGATCCCTAAACCATGTCATATCCGCCATCATGAATGGGATGCACTTGTCAATGTTCAACTTTTCTTTGTAGAAGAATCCTCTGCCCATTCTGACCACACTCATGTAGTATGCGCATAAATATATGAACGCCGAATAAGCTCAAGCGTTGTGCAAGGAGGTGGAGGACCAGCACGGCCGGAAGCGGAGAGACCACGACAGCCGAAAGCTAGACTGAGAAGGTAAGAGACAAGACAGTTGAGATGACTGCAGGCCAAGAACCCTGTTGCCGATCTATCGTAACTTCACTCCACTCAACGCATCACGGGCCGAGATATTGATACAAATCCACAACCATAGCTTCGTCAAGTGGCCTGAAAAGATGAAAACTCAAGCCAACAAGAGGGGTTGGGCAAATACTACAAATTCCACCAGGACTACGACCACGAAACCAAAAACTGTCACGACCTTCACCACCACCACCAAGAAGACCTCATCCGACGTAAATACCTCTGTGGGTTCATCGACATCAAAGAGCATAAGCCCAGAGAAGAGTCACACTGCGTTGATGCGCCCCTAACCTGAACTCCCCCTGTCGGGGTCATCACTGCCATCTCGGTTGGGATGGCCTATGGGAAAAAGAACATCTAGGCACGGATGACCCGCACCCAGGAGTTGGAACGACTAGAACTTAGAAATGCATTGGCAACAACCCGCGCCGAGCTCTAATTGTGATTGAATAGCATTTTATAAACTCAAAATAAAAAAAAAAGATTTTCTTCGAAGAACAAGCAAATGCCTCCACACAATCCGACCAAATTATAAACGACTGGGAACACCAATCTATTGCACATGCGCGCCAGCACGACCGAGATCCAATGGTCGAGGCCAATGACCCACTACACGCACGGTCGAGTCTAGGACAAGCCCTCAATGGGCACTATAGGAATGACGTCCCCGCCACATAATGGTAAGAGAACGACCATCGAACTCCGTGCACCCAACCAACTGGCAAGCGGAACAGAGCTAGCCGAGGACTATGGCTAGCCCAATCAAAGAGCGTGAAGCTCTCCAATACTAGGTGCCACTGAACTCCCCGGCAACATTGAGAGTTAAAAAGCACCTCGGCCAGCATAACACTGAGGCCACAAAGCCGAAGACCATGATCATTTAGTGTCAAGACTGAGACATCAGTCAACATGAGACAAAAACCATGAAGCCGAGAGCCCAACTAACCTAAGAGCAAGTCCACAATGACCATGGCCTCGACCACCAAGACCGAGACCTCACCCCACCCAAGGACTTCCCAACCATGAAGACTGACACCGAGGAGGTAGAGCCCCTCAGCGATCGAGCCCAAAAACACTTTGACGATCGACCTGCCAAACAACAAGTCCATAGGACGGTCTCCGGTCGGTGTGGACGTGTGGTACTTTTGAAAAACTGGACCCTACACTTTTTTTTTGCGAAGACACATTTGAATTTGTACTCTGTAATATTGCAGATTTATCATCGTCAAATTAGCATCTGTTTGTGAGACAACCATGGTTTAAAGTTTAACGTTTTTTTTTTTTTTGGTAAAAAAAGTTTACAAGTTTAAACTGCTTTTTTTTTCTAATTTGGAAAGAAAAATGCATTTATTTTTAAAAGAGGCGACCTTTATTTATGTTTCTGAATTGGTTAATATAGGTCTGTCAACACCTTTTGCATCTATCTCTTTTCAAAACTACGTAAAAACAAAAATAACCTCTCAACTACCACCATAGCGCTAGCGGGTTATATCTGGGCTGACGATCCATTTGTCTCACTTCAAAGAATTTCAATTACATTATGCTCAGGTTAGGCTTTAAGCTTGGGCTCATTCAAAATTTAACATTTGTTCAACCAGCCCAAATTGCACTCTTACCGTCTTATCCCCCACTCCTAATTTCCGAACATTCACCTCTCATATGAGTTGCATGTATGGTTCAATGTGGTTGTGATCCAGTCATCCAACCAACTTAGACCCTAAAGAGAGAGAAAGAGCGATCTTTTGATTATTAACAATTTACTCAGGATGATCTGGAGACAAAATAATGTACACCTGGTTGAATTATTTATCACGGTTGAATACATCAGTGCTCACTGTGGATTTCATCTGGGATCCAGCTGTACTGAATACGGGCTTGTTCAACCGTGATAGGTAGTTCAGCCGGGTGTGTATGTTTTTGTCTCCAACTAATCCGCTCCCCAAGTTACTATATTTCTATCTAAAGTTTAAATCTTACTTTTTTTATACTAAAAGCTTTTCAACTTTCTAGCTTTTCAGTCTATTTCTATGCTAAGGAGCTTATTGTTCAATCTTAAAGTGATAATCTCGTCCTACTTTATAACTTAATCTATACTACCTATAAAAGAGTGAATGCCCATTCTTTCTGGAATTTTCATTGGACATTTTCTATCCCCTTGTCTAAACATATAATAGGCATAAAGATGGCATATATGTTCTTTATTCTCATTTTAGAAACTGTCCACTTATAACTGTTCAGAAACTATCCATGAATTTATAAATAATTTTATCTTAGATATACTTTATACATAAAAGAAACCATATGTATATATGCTTTAGATTTTTCTCAAAATATATAAGTTAGAAGAATATTCCAGAATATATAATTAAGGCTCGGTTTGGAAGGAGTGTCAATACAAATATGTATCGTATAAATACAAATATGCAGAATGCAAAACCTTGTATATTATATTATTTTATATGTATTTGTAATATACATATTTGTATTTGTATGCTTTCCAAACAGAGCCCAAGGGAAAACACCCCACTATATTGGGTGCAAGAGTGATAGATGTCCTTTAATAAAAATATTTTCATAAAAGTGCTTTTATAAAAACACTTTATTGAAAGTACTTCAGAAAAGTGCTTTTGTAAAAGTACTTTTTCGAAAAGTACTTCCATAGACTTTTATAAAAGTACTTTTGTAGAAGTGCTTTTGTAAAAGTACTTTCGTAAAAGTATGTTTATAAAAGTACTTTCATAGAAGTGTTTTTATAAAAGTACTTTTATAAAAGTGCTTTCGTAAAAGTTCTTTCATAAAAGTGGTTTTCTAAAAGTGCTTCCATAAAATTGCTTTCGTAATAGTGCTTTTATAAAAGTACTTCTATAAAAGTATTTTCATAAAAGTGCTTCTGTAAAAGTTTTTTTGTAAAAGTGATTTCATAAAAGTGTTTTCGTGTAAAAGTACTTTTGTAAAAGTGCTTTTATTAAAGTGATTTTGTAAAAGTCCTTTTATAAAACTTCTGTAAAAGTGTTTTCATAAAAGTACTTTTGTAAAAATGCTTCTGTAAAAGTATTTCCATAAAAGTGCTTTCGTAAAAATACTTTTCATAAAAGTACTTTTATAAAAGTGTTTTTATAAAAATGTTTTCGTAAAAATGCTTTCGTAAAAGTACTTTCATAAAAGTGATTTTATGTTGTTTTCAGTTTTGATTGATTTCAAATTGGACAAGGGTTTGGCCTTATGATCAAATTATTGGAAATTTGGTTTAGGTCTAATTCAAACCAATAAAAATATGAACCGAATTTATTTTGGATCGATCCAATCCAATAATTATAATGGACCGTCCAAATCCGATTTGATAAGGTTTGGATCTATTGAATCCAAACCAAAATCGACCGATTAACACCCTTAATTGTAGCAGAGACTTGGGATCAATTCTTGGCGACACCAAGGTTAGGAGGATTATGGGTATGGGAGATATACTACTTCCAAACACAAAAAAAAAGGAGAATCCACTGCTGTTATCCGAGTTCAGATCTCCTACCCACATGATATTAGGTAGGGTTCTTGTGGGTATGAGATCCCAACTCCTGCTATCCTCTATGTCTTCACAACAATTTCTGTGGGTGGCCAAGTAACTATCTAATATAACTCTATGTACTCACAACCATGTTTATATATACTCATGAATGAAGCTGCTGTACTTTTTTTTCCAAAAGAAAACATTTCTCTGTACGGAAATTTTGCAAAACCAGATTTACCTTAATGATGTACCAACCTTGATTGGGCCAAGTTCTCCACAGGTGACCTATTTAGAAAATAAGCCCAGGGGTGACAATTTCTGACTCTATCCACTCACTTAAAACCTATTTAAGCAAGTCCACCCATTTGGGGGCTGTTTGGTGGTGTTGGTGTTTTTTGCAAAAACTGGGCCCTTTACGTTTCCCTTTTAAGGTCTTTTTCTTCTAGACCCATTTGAACCATGATAGAGTGTTGGTTGTGAGACCTCCGTGGTTTAAACTGCCTTTTTTTTATAATTTCAAAAAATAAATTTATTTTTTTTTAAAGAGGAAACCTGATAAATATAGGTTTGTCAATAACTTTTGCATCTTTCTCTTTTCAAAACTCTTTGGAAAAATAAAGGAACCTCTCAACTAAACATCACCTAGTGGGTTATGCATTATCTATAAAAAAAAAAAAATCATTTATATGAGTTTAAGTGGATATGGGTTAAGCAGTGGATAGCTATTGGGTGGGTTACACAAGGTGTGAGTTGGGTGCGAACCAGGTTCTCTGGTTCGAAGAATTTAAATTACGCTGGGCTCAGGTTCAGGCTTGGCCCATTCAAAATTTAACAATGTTCAACTTAGTCCAACTTGTACCCAAATAGGATAAGGCGGTGAGTAATTCGATCCAGCTTTAAAACGAGGCGAAGTCTAATCATATATTCATGTGTGTGAAATGCAAATTATGTACAGTACATACATATGCACCAAAAGTTCTAAATTCAAGGGCTGAGATTTTTTAGTGTGACATAATCATAACACTTGTAAAGCAGCATAAATTTGTCCCCGAATATATGGATAATGCTAAAGCTAACCCAAGAAAGGTAACCCTTAATGCCAAGTGAAAACATTTTTCTAGAACAAAAATAAGTGAAAGTATTATCGCAACCTGAACCCAAACTGTATATGGTTTGTAATTCACTGAACTTGTTAATTTTATCAACTCCTTGGCGTCGTTATAGCAAACCCCCAAAATTAATTCTATTATTCTAACCATCCCACGTTCATGGAAGATAATAAGAATAGGGTAAATTGCTGAAATTTCCCCTGAAGATTTTAACCATTGCTGAAATCTACCTGAATTTTGGTAATTGCAGACTTGCAGTCACTTCCCTTGAACTTTCTGGCATAGTTGCAAGTAAATTCTCTTTTAAGAGGTATGGAAATATCTAAAATATTCGTGCAGTTATTCTTGAATAAAATGTTTATTTTTCTAAATTTGCCCTTTATATCAATCACTAAACCAGTCTCAATAATTGTATGGGTATTTTAGACATATTCAAGCATCTTTTTAGAGGATATTAACAAAGGGGGTCTACGTGCAAATATGTCATAAAGTTCAGGGGAGATTTCTACAATTTACCCTAAAAAACAATCCTGGTGGTAAATATTGTTTGTAGGGTAATTATTGTGGAATCGTTAAGGCTCAGTTTAGAAGAAGTACAATATGTACAATGCAAATATATGCAAAACAATAGAAAACATAAGGTTTTGCTGTGACCGGGATATGCCAGTGTTTCGTATATATGAAATCCATATTAATATTGATGACTTGTGATTGGTCATGGGTAGATGCATAACGGTGCGAGCAGTATGATGTTTTCAATACGAAAACGGGTGCCATATCAGATACAATTGTTTTTCTTTTCAAGATTTCACTACTTTGTATTTCCTTGATTTCATCTCTTAATTTCTTTCATTTGTACCACCAAAGCTGATGCACGACATACATCATAAATTGTTGGACATTAATTCGCGTCTATCATACTTATATATATATATTGATTACATGAGAGAGAACAGTAAATTAAGGGTGGAATAAACTTTGAGTGGAGACTCTGAACTAGGATTTACTTTAGATATGTGTGTAAATAATGAGACGGAGCAGGGAGGGAATTATAAACGATGGATCGTCATGATACTTTGGTGCGAGCTCAACTTCAATTTTCACTTTTTAACTCAATTAATTGTGCTGGTTCTGGGCTTCATTTGGCGCTCCTCCTCCCAGTCCATGGTCAAGGTCATGGTCAGTTTGTTCATGCTCCTTATTCCCCAGGCCCAGATTACTTACGTCCACAATCTTTGTCAACTCGACGGGACATACCTCCGGGCTTGCCACCGAGTTTAGCTTAATGACATCGATGACATGCTCATTCACCTTCTGCTGCTGTTCCTCTATATTACTTCTGTTGGCGTCCTTGTATATTGCATATAGCACCATCTGAGCGACCCCGAAGATGAATCCCAAGATGTTCGGGAGCTATATCATCACCAAATTAAAGTTAATTAACGAAGGAATTTGTTAACAACATTGAATATGAATTCAAGTTATTGCCAGAGAGAGTCTTAATTTACTTACAGCAATGTAGAAGTCTTTAAGTAGAAAGCCGTAGGAGAACCACATAACAGCGCTCAAAGTGAGGAAGAAGGAGAGCGAAAACGGCATGAATTCAACGCTCTTGCTACGTATAACAAGTCTCTGCGGGTAGAATAAACAAGCATATATAATATGAAAAATGTTGCCAAATGAAAGGATTCTCCAATGCTGGCAATGGTTGGTTTGCTTTTAATTTATAGCCAATAACCCATAAAAGAATTAATTAATATCTAAGCACTTAATTACCCAAAAAAATATATCTATATCTATATCTATATATATATATATATATATATATATATCTATCTGCAATTCGGCAGTCCACAGTCCTGACTTGCTTGGGGTTAAATACCATGCGTAGCAGTAAATATATATATATCAACATGGAAAGCCAAAACGAAAAAAAAAAAAAAAAGTAGTTGTTGCGCCTTTCAAATATGCATGCGTCTCGAATTGGGTTGGCATGCACTTGGACATATATACACTTTTACCTAATGTTCAAATCTTTCTTTTCTTTATACTGAAAGCTTTTCTACTCCTTGGCTTTCTAGCCAATTAATAATAAATCATATACACCTCCCTCTGTTAAGGAGCTTTCACTTACGGGTGGCAATTTCTGAACCAGCCTTCTTTTCCCACCCAACCCAACCCATCCATCTAGTTAATGGGTTGTACATGGGTTGACAACCCATTGGGTCAAAGCTTCAGTGGATGGATATGGTCAGTCAAACTTAAGTGGATGGGCATTGTTGGGTGATGGTTACTAACTTGTCTTCTTATGGTTTAGGTAAGACCTAACTATAAGAATCGATATTTAAGCCTATCTGGGTGTAGCATTTGTCCACTATTTAATTAAGCAGTAGTGTCTATTAACTCGTGTTCTTGAACCAATGCAAAATACACAAAATCAATGATTGCAGAGGCTGCCATACGTTAAACAAAAAATCAATGATTAAAAGAACCAAAGAGATTTTTGTTCCTAATCCTATAATTAAGAAAGGGAAGAAAAGAGTAAAACCAGACTTTGATCCGGACATGGCCATCTATCTGTCTTTGGCCTTTCATTCCAAGGCTAATGATATGCGAGAAAAGGCTTTAATTTGTTAATGATTATCAACTTTTGTTAAAGAAACCATTGGACTGACATTCACTTTACACCTCCATCCCCATGACATATATACTACAGTACTTTTATTTGAATGATGGGAAGAAATACTCCAATTAATTCAACGTTACATCAACAGATTCAAGTAACCACTTATCGTTTTGGGGATCAATGCCTCACCCCATAGGAGGTGTTGGATTCATCAAAGCAGAGTAGGTTGAATGTAAAGAAAACTGCCACGTATTTACTAATGGCTTGGGATCATTCTTTGTTGTGTCTAAAAACAAATATATAAATTCAATATTGTTTTTCAGCATTATAAGCCATTTATTGTGGTTGATTGAGGATGAATCAGCGGGTTGGGTTGGGTTAAAGTGGACATGAATGGGTTATCAGTTATCACCCATTTAGGCTCTATGCAGATGGGTCATAAATTGATTGATGGTTTCGATGGGTGGCTTGTAGCTCAACCCATTCACATCTATCTAATTGCCACCCCTACTTTCAATTCAATCTTAAACTGATGAATAACCTTATCCTACTTTATGCAATAACTTAATTTATCCCACCATAATTTTATTATTAGTAGTAGTAATAGTAATAGTATAATATAACCACGGCAATTAAGCAACCACCAAATGTGAAGATAATTAATAATCAAACATTGGAAGTTTCTTGAATGAAGTACACAATAGAGAATCATTTTATTTCTATGATGCTGCAAAAGCATGCCCTTATAATAAAGTATGTCATCAGTGTGGTGGTCTCACCATAATGCTTAATGGCGCTGCGAAGACACTCACAGAGAAGGCAACACAAATGGATCCAAGAACCCTGACACGGTTTGAACCTTTTGCTAGAAACAGAGTGAAGAGAAGGATCGAACAAAATGTCCCAACGTTCAACAATAGCAGTAGCTTGATGGCTAGGACCTGCAAAATTTTGATTATTAAATACCAAACACAGAAACCTCCATTAATTAATTGCAGTGTATACTGGAACTATTAGAAAGCTATATGTGTGTATAGTTTAGCTAGCTAATACCAAACACAGAAATCTCCATTAATTGCAGGGTATACTAGAATTATTAGAAAGCTATACATTTTAGCTTAGCTAATTAAGACGGTTATGGAGAAGAAAAAGTAAAATAACAGTCTCATTATTATACCCTAGCTTTCTTTGGCGCGTACACCATGAACATGGTAATGTAACTGGTCTCTATAACACATCCAACTGAGTTAATGGTGATGAGAAGGTGAGCATCAGGTTTCAGTAATCCATAGTATATCCAAAGCATGGCACTGAATAGTGCAACCACGTATGGAACCGATTGAAAGCCTTCTGTTGATTTCTTCTTGTAAATTCGAATAAATGTTGGCCTGAATTTTTTGAGTACAAACAAATTAAGCTGTGAAGATCATATCCATCGATATATTACTATTTACTAAAACTATGTATGTATTAGATACATATATAACATTTGAAGCAAATTAAAGAAGAAGAAAAGCATCAACAACACTTACACTGGAGCAAGGTAAACCATCAAGGAGATGATATTACCTGTACAAAACAAACAACATCATCTATCAACAATGACAAAGGAAACGTCTTATATATACTCTAGCTAGAACGACGGACTTGTAATATTTATTATTATTTTCACAATATTAACACAGCACTAAATAACTCAAAGCTAATCAACAAGAAAACCAGGTGGAAAGGTGCTTCACAAGAAGAGTACTGCGTTTAAACACTAGAATGAGAATTACTTATATAAAATGTGACAAGCGTTTATTGTTTACGTTACTTTTAATAAGAGCCGGAGCACCCTTTAGTAGGTAAATAACGGTGTGAATCTGTACAAGCTTATCATCTAAAGAAGCACAACAAATTACCCAGATATATTATTGTATAAATAAAGTAAAAGAAGAAGAACCTCTCTGCTTATGAACAGAGCTACAAAGAAACCAAAAACAGTGGAAAGATATAGAAGAAAGATAAATATGCAATTAATTAATGAAGTAGGTGATGATGAATAATGTCTATTTATCTCTACCTAAGAGACCGAAGGCAAAAGTCCATGGATGATGGACGTCGAACATCGCCATCTCCTGATCTGTATAAAAGAAATCCAAACACACGCACAAAATGGCAGGCAGAGAATGCCTCTGACGCTCTGACTCTTAAGTCTCAAGATGAAGAAAGATTAACGTCTATCTCTATCTCTTCCTTCTTACTACACTCTGATCTCTCTAGCTAGCTCGGTTAGGGAAGTGGCAATGGTGGTGTAACTGATGCTCATGTGGTGTGTGGTGTGACATGCTCGTTAAATAGAGCGCCCGGAAGGGGGTAGAGCAGGGGTGCGCATTGTACGTACGCATACAATTAGCGTGACAACTGGAGGTTTAGTAGGTGGCGCACCATAAAACCAACCATTCACCCAACACGTACATCCCACACATATAGTTAGCACTAGCGAGTAGCGGCGACGGAATTTTACGTTACCCCTCTCTCACCCGGTCACCCCCCCCACCAAGTAATCTCGCGCCAAACCCACTTCTCGTGAGTCGTGACTCACCCCTCTTGACCTTTTTCCAACCGTTTCTCTCCATCCAGATGGAATCATGGAAACACCCCCTCACCACGTCAGCCCTAATGAGTTGTCACTTGTCTCTCTCTCTCTTTTGTTGATTTTCTTTATCTTCTCCCAACAAAAATTATTCCAACAGAATTCGCATAGGCGCCCCCCACAGTACAAAGAGATATTCCCATGACCCAGTCTCATGTCGCGGGGCACCAATGTAAATTCATGGCAACATGCTGTGCTGTATTCATAAGCACATTTCATAACATAAAAGACGGGTACCCATCATGCATGAGATGTTTGGACGCTAATCATGTCGGAACGTGTTGGAATGGCTTTTTGTTACAAAATTAAAAAGATCCGGATTCCCCCTAGTCGGGTTTTCCTTAGTTATGTTGTAGAGTAATCTATGTGCGGAGGGATGATTTTCTTCTCCTCCAAGCATGTGTATTCATAGTTACACAAGGATTAATGAGTATTAATCATAATGTAGTTACTGCTTAATTACTATTAATAGGCATGGGTTGGTTTAGAGATGGAAAGTAGAAAGCAAAAACAAACATAATTACATATAAAGTAAAAGAAAAAGAAAGATTAGCAGGGCCGAGCATTTATGATTAATATTAGTTTAAAAACACGTCTCCTTACAACTTACAAGGTAGGGACTTCCAATTTTCCATTCCTGGCTAGTTTAGGTTGTGCTAGCTTTATTATATGCGCCCAAAGTATATACATCTTATGCTATGTTTGGTTTGACAGAAATAAGAGAGAATTGTAAAATTTCCTCAACTTTTCTTCTGCTCCTCTCTTATTTTCTTCCAAACCAAACGTAGACTTTTTTAATTTTTGGCCAACGCGTATGTTCGGTTTTACGTGAAGCCGTCTTTCCGAAGTTGATTAGGTTATGATGGTAGAGATATGGATTTACAGCAAAACCAGCGTAACGACTTTTGTCTTTTGCTTAGTGGTATTTTACTAACCAGTAACCACAACAATTTCTTTGCGCGCTCATCTGTTTTATTTACTTATTCTTTAGGTGCGAGAATATTTTTCTCTTGGTCATGGTTCATGGAGCAGGCGAGCAGCTGTTGTCGATAATGTATTGTAATGTGACTGCATCGATTGAATCAAACGGAAGCGGCCTTTCAGAAGCTGGCATGCATTTCCTCGCTTCATCTTTTTAAGTTTTCTCAATGTAGAAAAAGGGAGAAGATATCGATTTAATCCATCCCGATTTCTTATGCCAAATGAGATAAAGTCAATCTCTGCTTTAGCTTAAAACAAGAAAGGGCCTGAACCATGAGAGTCGCAATAATTCAAAGAGCTGCTGGTTCAATTCCTTGTATTTGGAAATATCCTGTCAAGGCAAAGCCTTTCTTTAACTGGGGGTTCACATGGTGAACTGAGATTGAGTGTGAGTCTGACCATGAAATACATTGTTTGAAAGACGGGAGCTGTACACCTCATTCGCGCAACAAGATTCTCACGAATCCAAGTGACGAACCAAACCAGAGTGGTGGACATGTGGTTCTTGGTAAATTTGGTAAGGTAATGGTCTTAATCGGGTCACAACTCACACGGCGACAAGTGAGAAGCGGAGTCCACGCAAGATGATGATCATACACCACCTTCATGCAAGAGTAAATTTGGCAACAGGAATCAATCCCCAAACAATGGAACTACCCAACCTCTCTACTCTCTCCAATGGAGGGTGCATGCATGCATGGTGCACATATTCATTTTTTCAAGATTCTCTTCTTTTTTCCTATTTTGATTGTTAGGTATTTGGAAGCCAACTAGACCAGAGTAATGGATTTTATTTCGGCTTCTTACTGCAATCCAGGCCATTTCTTTATCATACCCAACCCCAACCCCAAATAGCTGGGATCAAGGCTTGAGTTGAGTTTGACTTGAGTAATTGGGTTCAGTTTGTATCCTCATCAAGTAAACCACCCGTTTTTTTCATTTTTCCCCTACTTACATCTAAAAGACTCAATTCGTATTTTCTTTTTCTCTACTTTCTTGAAATAATTTATAATGCTTGACTGGGAGTAATAGTAAGAGTTAGATATATATATATATATATATCCAAAAATAACAAATTAAATGGAATTGAATGATGATAGATCTGGATTATGATGAGTCCTAGGAATATTACAAACAATTAATATTAATACAGTGGTATGTAGTTTGTGCATCAATGGAGCGTATAGGTGGCCTGCAATTTCCAGAGTCTTCAGTATTTGTGGTACAAGGAGATATCAACAGGTTTGGAAACAAGCAACTATCCTGTGTGCTAGCTTTTTATGGAATGTGGGAACTTGGGAAGCTTAAACTCGATATGAATTGAAAGATGCTAAATTAAGTAATCAGAAAAATGCATGATTGATTCCTAGGGGAAACCTTTGCAAAAGCTCGAAGGCTTCAAAATTCTATCCCAGCCCAGCTAATGAATTGTAACTTTCGTGCATGGAAGTGCATTACTTGTTTAGGTGGGAGATGGAATATAAACATTAGAAGAAGTCTGGAAGGGTTGTTGTTGGAAGAAGGTGGAGTGTCAGTATATTTCAACTTAGGAAGGAAAAAAAGAAATACCACTACTTTTGACAACAAAAATCCTAGCTATAATGTGCAGCGGATATATATTATTTAGCGCTCTAGAGTCTAAGAGTTTACGCTTTTGAATCCAGCCATCTATGAGACCCTTTACAAAATTCCTTCCTTTTTATTAATGTATGAACAAAAACTTGTCGGGATTCGAATATTAGATCGCTTTAATTAGCACTTTACCAGTCATGGCCCATGGCATGATGATACGATCTAACGTGATCCTCTCCCCATTCAACATTTGTATTTGATTTATTTGTTAAATCGAGAAAAATAATAATAGAATCATTTATTGACAATTAGGTATCACTAGGCACCATATATTAAATAACTAACTAAGGAAGCATTAAAATGAATATTTCTCTTATGTACATAAATCAATGCCAGATTTTACAAGTCTTTACGTGTATAGATTATAATGGGCTAAATGTTGAAATGGTACCAATATGATAGTCTTTATTGAAAAAATGCTCATAATTCCAACACAATTTAAATAAAATAAGATAAAAAGAAGACGAAGTGTAGAAGTCAAATGTGCGGAGTGCACTGATGTCTGAGTGATGGTGCATTATGGGCCGGGTTTAGTTCCAACAAAAAGAGAATTTACTATTTGACTGTTTCAAAAGTCTGAATGAATCTCATTTGACTGATCCGTTGTGTAGGCAAAGGGGTTCCACAGAAGAAAGATCAGTAATTTAATAGTGCAAGAAATCTGACGAAGGAGGCGAGGAGAGAGAGATGTCAGTTCGGCAGAGGCAAGTTTCCTGCCTAATGGGAAACGTTATCTACTTTTAATCTTTTAACTGTAACACCTGCATCCTAACATCCAGGTGTTCAACTCCTACGTACAAAGGTTGGATCTCCCAAGTCCCGTCCAGGGGGGAGCTGGTCAGCAGTCACTAGCATCATTTAATTTAAGGAATAGGTAGAGGTAGGAAGTAGGGTGAACTGAATCTTGCCCGTGAATTGATATTAAATTCATGGGCAAGAGTAAAATGCGATTTATAGGGGGCTACTAATAGACCAGGAAGGGATTGCAGTCCAAAAAGCCCTTTAATTTAAGGACTTCCAAATTAAATTTACTTGGGCCCGGCCTATCATCGCCCACTCTTGAAAGAAAAGGCGGGCAAAATAGCTAGAATCTTTTTATTGGGGATGTACATCTTTAATCCTTTCGTTCCAAAAACAATCTATTCAACATATGGAGCACGATAGTATGTGCCAATTTAGGGTTATATCATAAATATGACATGTCACGTGAAGTAATGATGCAACAGATCCAAACCGTTGTTTATCAGATAGGGATCCTTAAGGATTATGGAACAAATATTGACTACTCCTGTCCACATTAGCCCTATAACTTCCCACCAATACTGACCCTTTGAACTCTTTATTTTTTACCTTCTTAACATAAATTTTGCTTTTGTAGCCTTGATTTCCTAAAAGCAAAAAAGCATGTGAATACAATGTTTTCAAAATCGGACAAGATCCGATTGGACGGTCGGACTGAAAAAATCAGGAACAGGTTATTTGACTGGTTTCAATTTACCCTAGAACCCTCTTTTGCCTGAAAACCATTGATTTAGTCAACAAATCACTGATCCAAGCAGTCAAACTGTTTGAATCATCCAATGCTTTTGGCTGTTTTTTTTTATTTTTTTATTTCTTTTGTTAGAATGGAACATCCATTCGTTTCGAACGATCAGACTATTCTACTCAAAAACTAAACCCCTGAACGATTCATTGTCCAATTCAATTTTAAAAACCTTGTATGGTTATGCTGAGAGCAGCTGTATGCCTGTATCATATTGTGTGGGCGGTATATCCAAACTATAGTATTGGCCGGTCAGATGAATGTATGAATAGCTGTAACATCTTGTTCTTATTTCTCTCCTCATAGCTACCTGCCTGTTTGAA